CGGCTCTAAATTAACTTGTCTTGACCCAGTTTGATTTCAAGCCAACTTGGCTTAATCAGTTCAATTATGAGCATGTTTGAATCTGAATTGAGCCTGCTTATCTTCCTTGCCAACTCGATTCAATTCTGGCCTAGCTTGAGATAGGCTCAAAAATCAGTCAAAGCCAAAATGTATATAGTGGCTTGGCTCAATTTGAGCTTATTATTAGTCAGGGCATCTCCAACTAAACTCCAAACACATGAATGACATTGCTCGCGAGCTCCAGCCGAACGGCAAAATTTCCGGTATTTGGTTGCAGGTGAACAGTGCGACGCCAATATTGGCGTGGCACTGTTCACCCGCGTTATTTTTCTGTCTCTACTGGACTTGCCGAATAAACGCACCAAAGAGGAGAAATTCGGTTACCTTCTGCGAAGGGCGTAAAATGGAGTTCGATTGGAGATGAATCATGCCATTTTTTAGTTTCACTGCATTTTGGAGTGAAAAATAAGATTTTCGGTTGGAGATGCCCTCATAATCAACTCTAGTTTCAAGCAATATTTTGATCTTTTAGCCTCATGTAATGGTGTTTTTGTTGCTTACTGCAAAAAAATTGTCTTAATGCAGATGGGTGATTCTTACAAACAAGCAATATTTGCTGAACATATGCAAACCACCTTTCATGGCTGGGTTGCTGGTGTGAGAAAGCGAAAGAGGTCAGGCTCAGGCCTCTATTCCTCCATTATGGGAATGTTTACGAAGAAGAAAAAGAAGCAAGAGACTTCTGGGTGTGAAATACAGATGCAAAGGATAGCGAGAACTGAAGAATTCAGTTGTTCTCCACAAACCTGGCAACCAGATTTCATGCAAGATCTTCCAGCATCAGAGATTGAAGCTTGTCAAATTGAACCAGTTTAGTCTAAGTATCTTGAAATCTTCAAAGATTTCATTCGAATCAGAGAAATTTCATCTTTTTAGAAACTTTGAATTAGTAAGACATATTTTAAAAATACAAGCCTGTTGGATATCTGCAAGATGTTTTCTTGTCTTGAAAGATGATAATCAGAATAGTGACTACTAATGGTCTTTTATAAGATGAAAATAAGGTATTGTAAAATATCAAAAAATATCTATATTGTTGTTCATGAGAATGTCTTACCAGACTTTTTAATCAATAACTAACAACAATTTGGTGAATTTAAAATAATTGTTTATCTGAAATAGTTATATTTATATGTTTATCTCACATAGAGGGACAAATGGTTTATGTTGTTGTCGTAGGCCTCTGAAATATTTGGAAATTAAGCACAAACAAACTCACTGTTGCTTAGTTTGGTTGGTGGGCGAGTATGAATGGGAACTCCCAACTCGTGTTCGATTTCTCTCGAGTGACAGCGTCTCTTAAGTGTGACACAATCAAGTGCGGGCCAGGAGGTTTCTGGGGTGGGTGTCTCTTCTAGATTAACGAAATATTAGTTACGCTGCCAAGCGCCCTTTTAGGGGTGCAGCAATTGGATTCCCCGTTCTAAATAAAAAATAAAAACACAAACAGTAAATCGGCTTAGGGCAGTAAAGAAACTGCTCTCAGATATTGTATGAGTTATTATTATTTGATAAATTTTTATATGATATTATCTTATAGAAAAATTAATTTTCTTATGTACATATAACTATATAAATCAATTCAAATTATAAATTTATTAATTAATCATTGTGAAATATTATCATATTTTGTTATCTAAATGATTAATTATTGACTACTTGTTATGCTGGTAAGTTTACTATCACAATTACTGTGTGTTCATGATGAGGACATCGTCAGCGATTTCGACACATGTACTATCAGGAGATGTCGGAGATCGATGGTCACGATCATGAGTTGTATTTTTTGTCATTTTATATAGTAGTTTATTTTATTTTATGTTTTTTTCCACTTTTGCCCTTATGGGTATTTGGTCGCTATTGTAGCCCAAGGGGCATTTTAGTCATTTGTTTTCTTTGTCATTTTGAGGCCTATATATATGGCCCTTTTCTTATATAATAGCAGTTTTGATGAATGAAAATTTTAGAGTTCATGTTCTCTTTGTGAGTGCAACCCTCCTCGATCTCTTAGTGAGTTCGTATGAGAAACTAGATCTCTTTGTGAGTTCTAGGTTTTCCTTATCCTTCTCTTTTCTTTAATTCTCTTCATCAATTCGTCGTTGTGGAGACGACGCATTGTGGATCTCTTTGTGAGTTCCATGGGAGGAGACGCATGAGGTTTGAATCCCCTTTGAATTACTCCAAGTTTTCTCCCCAATTCTCTGGCCGCCGCCTTCCTCTTTCCCAAACCCCTTGTCGCCGGCCACCTTGGGCCACCCAGGCCGCCGGCCACCACCTCCTGAAAGTTCGTCCAAACAACCGCCCCCTCTTCCCCAATTTTCCTTCCCCACCGCTCCACTCGCCGGCCCCTCTTGGAGTTTTGAATTTGAAATTCAAAGCTCCGATGAGGCTTTGATACTTTCCTAATTTAGCTCATTAATTTGAGGTCTCCAAATTAATTAGATTTCAATCTGAATTTGAATTCAAATTGGTCTTAATTAATACCCTTTTATTAGGGAACTTCCCTATCTTAAAAACCTGAAATATATTTCAGATTTTTATTTAAAGCTTTGTTAGCCAAGTGGTCCCCACCTACTTAAGTTAAACATTTTCTCCCTCTATGCTTGGTCGGCCTTCCCCTTATTATTTTCTATTTTATTTCCACATCACCACCTCTTAAATGCCTCCTCTCACATAGTTAATTCCATATTTCATCAGTTTTAATTTTAGATTTCAAAAATCTGAAAACTGAAACTGATTCCCTCTCTCCTCAGTTAGCTCCCTCATCCCACTAACTCAGCCCCATCCACTCCTTATTGCCGCCTCTCTCCATATGGGATTTAATTTGAAAACTCTCAATTAATCCCTTTCCCTCTCACCCAAAACCTGAGATAATTTCAGGTTTACTGAAATTTTCTTGTGGTCTCTCAACCTAGCCGCCCCATACCTTTCCTCCCAAGCGTAACTTCAATTTTTATTCAAGATTTCAAAATCTGAGATTGGAAATCAAGATTATTCCCTCTCAGATTTCCTCTCCTTCTTCACTTCACGTGGCTTGTTTTCTATGAGTCTTGCTGCTAAGTTTTCCTCCCTAAAATGAGAGTTGGAATTCCTCTCAGATTTCTGAGAGAAGAAAATCTGAAACATTTCAGATTCCTCCAAAGAATTACTTCAGCTTTGTAGAAGAATTTGGAAAAACGGGAAGTCTTCTCAGATTTTGGTTCCAAAATTTGAATTTCCTTTTTCACCATTGAAGAATACATCGACCGTATCCACTACAACTTAGTTGACGTGATCGACGGGCAAAGGTCAAAAGGGACGTTGGATCATCATTGGACGACAATTATCCACCACCACTCTGGCCACCTATCCAAGAACGACGATCCGAGGTTCCTTCTTCCTCGGAGCGACCTCGATTCTAATGTGGAGACTCTTCTTCCGCTAAAGCCTAAACTATTTGAGCGTATGGGCTCCAAAGGTGAAAGTTCTCAATATTAAATCGTGGATTCTTATTTATTGTCGTAGCGCACAATTATTCTTTGCGTTTTCTTGAATTGTTTGATTAATCGATTTCACTCTTCTTTGCCTAAGCAAGTTAAAAAACTAAGAACTCTAAGGATCAATTGTTGTTATAAGCAATACATTTATTATTGGAACACTTTGTAATTCGCTCTCTTTATTTCTTAAAGTAACTCCCGATTGTTTCACATCAGTTCATCTTGGCCTAATGCTTGTAGTGGTGGTAAAATGTCAGTGCTGCTTAAATTTGAGGTAGAAATTGTGATTGGAGAAGAGAAGTTGGGCTAATGATTAAGAAGAGAGGCCATTGGCCTTAGAATATCTTTTTTATGTTGGGAGTTTTGGTTATCAACTAAGAAATTTTAGGTACAAAATTTGTGCATGTAATGTGTGCATGAGTTTTCCCGAGGACATCTCCAATCGAACGTCAAACAAACATTTGAAGTTGCTGCGAGCTCCAACCGAGCACTAAATTCAGCGACATTTTTGCGCGAGGTGAACCGTGTGATTGTTCACAAACGTCATTTTTTTGTCATTTTTTTCGGTTGGAGATATATTCTTTCTTGATGTTATGAAATGGAATTGAGTTGAAGATGAATTATTACATTTTAGAGTATAAAATATGTTTTCGGTTGGAGATGGTCATAATTGGCTCTGATGTAAAAAAAAAAGAATATATTTGTTTAAATAATGAAATTGCACATTATTTCAACCTAACAATTAAGGTTTCATTTATGGCTGGTTTCTTACTACCACTTAAAGCAGCTTTCTAGTATAAAAATTTTAATTTTTTAATTAAAAAATTACTTCAATAAATAGTAAGAAAGTCATCCCAAACGAAGCCTAAAAGATGTTCAAATACAAGTGTTACTTATTTGAATTATCGGTAAAAAAAAAAAGGGATATTTGCCCCATAGATACATTTCATGAGCATTGATTTAAATATTTGAATAATAAGGAATAAACAACTAAAGTTCTATATAATATATTTTGAAAATTTGTGGGCACACATAACTCTTCTTGGCCTATTGGTTGAGAGCTTAGGCTTCCAATTAAGAGGTTTAGGGTTCGAGTTTATGTGTATGCGTTGTGTGTGAGTTTGTCTTAAATGGCCTAAATGTCCCAAAAAAAAAAAAAAAATTTGTGGGCTAATAATGTTGATGTTGCTGAGCATGTGGCCGGCAGGACACGACAGGCCAACACAACCGTTACGAACCCGTGTCTGGTGTCACCCTTTGTTGTGCGCAACCTAAAACCCTAAACCGAGCTGATGGCGCGGTCGGGGGCGCTAGCCGCCTCTGCCGCTTCCATGGCCTTCACCTCCGGCCATTCATGGCGGATCATCCCTCGCCCCGTCCTTGAAACAATCCTCAACAACTTCGCAAACCATCTCCGCGTCCCACAACCCCTACTCCTCCATGGACCCCGTGGGGTCGGCAAAACGTCGCTTCTGATCCACCGTCTACTCCCAGAATGGAACAAAGGCCCTCACATCACCGGCTACGTAGACTTCGCCGCCAACACTAGCGTACCCTGGACCTCTTCTCCCCCTGGTGACCTCCCCTCCTTCACCAGCCGTCTCGAGCACGAGCTCGAAGCCATGGCTGAGCGAGGCGTTCGCCTCGGAACCATAGGCAGTGCTTCCGTTTTCTCCGCGCTTAACAAATGGCACGGCGTGGGCGGCGCTCTCCGCCGGCTCATCGGGCCGGGCCGACTTACAAAGCGCGACGAGGCGGTACCAGTTTCTGCGCTTTGGAACAAGGCATTGATCGCTTTTATGGCCCGGATTGGGGATGGTGAGATTGATGTTTTGCTCGGAGAAGCGGCTTCGCGAGAGGAGGCGGCGTTCATGAGGGAGGCTGTGGTTGCGTTGAGGCTTGCGAAGGAGGTACTGGGAATGCATCAGGAGTGGAGGAGGGAGGCGGTAATGCATCTCAACCGCACGGGGCGTTTCTCGAGGTCCCTTGTGAATTCTGCCACGGATTGGCCTTGTCTCCTTCTACAGATACTGTCGGATGCTGCCGAGATCGATTTCTTTCAGGTTCGTGAAGAAATATTTTTTTTAACAATTCTGCATTGCAGGCATTAAAGAAAAAAACTTAGTATTAACTGCACGGGGATGTTGGGCTCTACGCCTCTACGTAGGATTTAGCTCAAGAAGGATTTAGTAAATCTATTTAGTAAATATTGAGTGTATTAAATGCTGAAAACTGACAAACAGTATATTAAAACCTAATAAATTATTTTGCTTTTTCATCAAGATTTGAGATATATAAATGAATATAAGATCTAAAACCAAGGCTTTTAAAACCGACCGGTCAATGAACCGGAAGGAGGGGTTAGAGGTTTGATGGTTCGACCGGGGTCGAACCGGATGACGTAATAAATATTTATTATATTTAAATATTATAATAATGACACAATTATTTATAAATATATAATAAAAATTAAAAAAAATTATAATACTTTTAATCCTAATTGAAACTGCTTAAGAAACAGCTTTTCAAAATGCTTATGACCTCCTTTATTCTAAGCCTTTACCCATAACTTCATTTTTTAAAATCTTTAGTTAGATGAAACCTTGAGCTTAAAAATCTCATCCATAAAAAATTGCTAGAAATGAAGACAATGAAATGGTGAATCTCTTAAAATTGTTTGTGGTGTTACTTTTATGGTTATATGCTAAAAACATAATTGAGTTGTTTATTTATTAAATCTTGTTGCATTTCATTCTCATTCCCTTGAAGTAGAAATAGTATTTGTGCTAGCATGTGGTTTTTTTTTTATAATGTTGATATGTGAGATAGCATTGGAGTTGATGAAATTGATGTTGCACTTGGAGAAGCAACTTTGGGGGACTTGTGTGCTAGAGGAGGGGGTTTTGATAGAGAGATTATTACTCTCACTAAAGATTGCAAACAAAGTTATGCAATATATGCATTATTGTTTATTTTGTTACGCATTACTGATTATAACATCATCAAACCTTTATTCCACTATATTATGGGTGTCAAAATGAGTTTACGGGTCGGGTTTTTGTCCAGACCAAAACTTACTTGACCTGATTAGCTAAATAGTTCACAAACCCATACTCAAACACGACATGCTGGCTCGGTTGGGTGCGACTGTGTGGGCAAGCGAGTGTGACTACGCGAGCGGGTGAACTTTTGGACGTGTGGGCAACTTGTGGAAGAGCGCGCGGACAGATCGACCGTGAGGATGACTCACAACCACGACGACGAATGAACAGACGATCACGAGCAGGACGAGCTTGTCTGCGTGACGAACGGTATAATTTCAATTTGTTTTTGGGTTGAACCGAACCTGATCCACTTTTCAAATGGGCTGACCCAAACTCAGAATTTTTTAGTCGGGTTTTTGGGTCGTATCAAACATTGACACCCCTACACTATGTGGTGTCGGCTACATGAATCCTTTTGCTCCATTATGTCCTGTACATTGCTGAGTATATAATATTAAAAATGATATGCATATAATAATACATAGCAAAGTACACTTCAATATGTAGCTTTGTGCATCTTCCTTTGCAAACATTTAACTCTCCTATTAATTTATTGCATTAAGAAAGGAGGTCGTGAATGCACCCTTCTAATGATTTTTTACATTAAGAAAGGAGGTTGTGATTGCATCAAGGTATGCAAACTTGATTCAAGAATATCCCAAGAGCCTTTTCAGAGATTCCCAAATCATCAACAAGTCTACCAACAATTCTAGAAATGCCCAAATAAATCTAACGAAGGGGGCTAACTATGCTTATGGAAGTTGGATCAAAATGTTGTGACAATTCTAGCTTTTGGAGAAGGATCAAGTAGCAAAAATTAAATTGAAATAAACCAAGCTTTGGTTGGTTAAGAATTGAAGTATTGCAATGGATTTATTTGAGTTCCTTGTCTATTTCTAGTATTTTATCATTTTCTTCTTACTTTTTAGGTGTTAGTTCCCTTATTCTAGTTGAAAGTTACTTTTTTTATGGTTAGTTGCTTATTTTGTGAAAAATGGTTGCTAGAATAAAATTAAAAGTGATTTTTTATATAATACTCATATAATATATAAAGGATGACATATTGAACTATGAAGTAAAAGATTGAAATACATATGAAACAAAAAATTGTACACGTAAAATGACAGTGATAAATTGCGTGAAACAGCATTGAAATTCAAATATTACAGGAGTAAAACAACATAAAACCTATGAATTACATAAAAGTATTATATAACATCAAGTTTAACTTCAAATTCTTTTTTTTTTCATTCCTTACTTATTCACATTTAATTCTTAAAGAAATCTGAAATAGTTGGCAACAACTCATAAATTATCTATCCTGTCATCATTAAGGATGTCTTTATTGAGTCATTGTTATAACAAATTTGTTCACCCTGCCTTATCCTATGGAGTCCAATACCTTCCAATATGCTTCTTCATTTATCTCAGTCGTTTTCCTCTTTCATAAATGCTTGTTATTAACATAAAGATGAGAGTAATACTCCAAAAATTTTGGAGGAAGTGGTGGTGTTGGTGTGTGGCTTTCAAGTGATCCTCGATGATAGTTACGATAATGGTGGCTACAGTAAAGGTGATGGTCTTGAGGTTGAGAGAGTTGAGATGAAGTTGCTGCAGCTTGGTGGTGCAAAAAGGCATGTCTTTTTCATGGCTTTAGTTTAGGATTTAGGTAAGTTTCAATATATATATATATATATATATATATATGGGTGAGGCGTACGCCTCACGCCAGTAAGACGAGGCGCGCTTTAGCCAAGTTGAGTCGCAAGCCTCATATAGAAAACTTGAGATGTATGCCTCTAGGTGTTTTCAGTGTAATTGCGCTGAGGCGGGCCTCAATGCGAGCCTCATATTTCGCAATTTTAAATAATGAGTTTGTATTAAAATTCAGTAAACCCTTTTCATGTCATCCATACTTTATATTTTTGTTTTGAGTAAGATGAACCCCTAAGGTTTAAATCTCTTGCGAACAACATTTTCTAAAAATGACTCTGACTAAGTGGTGAATCTGTGAACTGTTTGTGTCGTCAATTTTAGTTGTGTTTTTTTTTTGTTTGAAAACTTTTATCAAATCATATTCTTTTAGTTTAAACATTCCCATTCCCCTTATTCAATCAAGTATATCACGTCTTTATGTTTTTACTATATAAAGATGGAATAAGTATGCTTCTGTTGTGCAATCACTACATGCAGCCGAAGCTTGTTATAAATAACATTGATGTTCTTCGGAGGACAGTCATAACAGATGATTCAGCTGTTCCTGCTGCTATGTATCATGACAGTTTAATATGGAGAGTGGTGGAGATGGGAGTGAACGACAAATGCTTGCCAGTAATTTTTATTACATCAGACAGGTGAGCCTCTATCCCATTATCCTTTAGCAACTGTTTCTTTTTTCTAAGGCATCCTGTCTTTTTCATGCCCATGCAAGTTAAGGCTTTGTTTGATATTTTTTCTGTTTTAAATTTGTTCCTGTTGTATCTTTTTTTATTTGATTTCCTTTACATTTTCAAATCAGATAGAAACATATTTGACATGTTATGTGAAAATACAATTTTTTTAGCATTTTGAAACTATAAATCAAGAATTTTTTTTTTATATGATAAGCAATTTGAGTAAATTATGAAAGCTAGCCAGATGTTTTTTGGATCTTAAATAATATTTTGTTAATTTAAAATTTATTTATTTTTATATGTTTGTAAAAGCATGTTTAGAAAATAATGATTTTAGTGTTTAGATAAGATGAGATTTAATGAATTATTTGATTATTAAAAATGAGATTACTAATTTTCATCTAACAATTTAATAGCTTTGAGTAATTCATTTGATGACGTACTGATTTAGAAATAGAAATTTGATTTGATTAAGCAACAATTAACTTATTAAACTTAAATAGGTAATTTTTTCATCAATAAATTACCACTTAAGCATGTCTTGAAAGTAGTATGATATTAATTAATTAATTATTGTATTGATATCATTATTATGGTTATTTTGTATTTATTTAAATCATAATTACTATTATTGTTAAATTATATTGACACTGAACTATTAATAAATTATTTGTTTGTATTCTTTAGGATAAAGGCTTGATGTTGTTGTTGTTGTTGTTGTATTCTTTAGGATTTAAATGTTTAATGTTATCACAGAGATGATTTACTGAAAACAAATTTTTACAAGCATGTGAAAGTACCTTCAAGTTTGTTTTCCTGTATATTGAAAAAAGGGCTTGTTTGTTCTTCAGATTAAAAAAAAAAAACAAAAAACATACAACCCCACCTTTATTTATTGTTCTGAAACATATTATGCCTTTTGCATTCATGCTTTATTTATTAACTCTAACTTTCAAACTGTTATTCTATATAGCAGCAATGTATGCAGTTTCTCAACAGTTCTAAAATCAGCCATATAATAAATAGCTATATCTTATAAACAAAGCTCTCACAGGCTTAAGGAGTATGGGCAGTGCTAAACTTACACAGTTGTACTTTTGCTTCTAATAAATACGGTTGCTATTATTTAAACACAATCTCAAGGTCTCAGACTCCCAATACAGCAACAAAGCCACAGCGACAAACATGCACCCCTTGAAATAAATTAAAGTGAAATGAATACTTTAAATTTGCTTTCGTCGTTCACATTTGTCCATTCACCAGTACTTCCACTCCACTTCTACATGATATATGTCATGTTGTGAAAATCGGATCGGACATAAAACTGAAAGAAGGATAGATTCATGATTTAATAGTTTGACCGAGGTTGAACTGGATAAATGAAATAAATATTAAAATGATTTAAATAACATCAAAATGATATTATAATGATATAATAAATATGCATTAATATAAATTTATGACTATAAAATAAATAAAATTCATACATAAATAATATATTCTACAAATTTTTAATTTAAACATATCAATCTTTAAATTTAATTCTCATTTAGCAAAAAATTAGTTCACATACAAGTTATAAAATTAGTATTAAAAATTGTTAATTCATGATATATATTTAGATATAATTTACATCATGGGTGTAAGTGAGCCAAGCCGGCTCATTAATGAGCTCACGAGTTGAGCTTATCGAGCCATGAGTTTGACGTTGAGCCTATACTCGAGCTCGAATATTAAATGAGCTTGAGCTCAATCTTGCTCGGCTTATAAGCTTGTTGAGCCGCTCAATTAATTTACAAGATATTTAAAATTAATTTAAATTAGCATTATATAATTTATTTTAACCTTTTTAATCTAATTTTATATTTAAAATAAAAAATTATAAAAAATTGAAAATTTAATTTAAAATTAAGAAATTGAGCTTAACAATCAAGTCAAGTACGAGCCTATAAATTTTTTAAAAAGCCGACCTCGAGCTTAGTAAATGAACTCGAGTTTAATAAGAACTAAACATGCTTAGCTCGATTATGTAGATACTTGACTCAACTAGTTTACACGCCTAATTTACACCTATAAATTATATACAAAATTTGTATTGTAAAATTAAATCTATAAATTCATGTTAGATCATTTATAATTAAAAAATAGACAAAATTAATTTTTTATATTATATAATTAAATAAATAAAAAATTAAATAGAAAAACTGAAAAATATTTGGCAAAAAAATTAATCTAAAAATTTATGGGTTTTAAAATTAATATAGATTAAATTTAAATGAATTAATTTATTTAAATATTTTATATTAAATAAATTTATTTAATTATATAAATGATTTAATAAAAAAATCGGCTGGTTTTTTATAACCGGCACCGGTTCGTTGGTTAACCAGTTGAGCCACCGGTTCGACGCGATTCAGTCTGATTTGTTGCGAAACCAGCTCAACTGGCTGGTCTGATTTTTAAATCCTTGATTTTAAGCGCAATGCAAATGTGTATTTCAAAATCTCTGCATACAAGAGCGCTTATCTTTTCTATAATTTTAACCATTGTTTTGAAAAGCCATACTTGAAAGAAACCTCTCCTAAAAAGTTTGAAGCTATTTTAAAGCTTATTATAGGTATAGTAAATGAAGTTTATTTTAAGCTTTGCACTGTTTCCAACCATTCTGAACTTTTTTTGGGTACAATTCTTTTGATGGATTACGATGCTTACCCTCTCTTTTTTCAGTATCTTGTCTTAATAAATTAAGGCATACCTAAACTTTTATTTTGTTTTTGAGGTTAAATGATAATATTGTATCCCTTAACGCTGAGTTCATGTTACACTTTATTCTTTAACTTCTACGATTGCACTTATTAATCTATTAAATTTTAAAACCTTGCATCTCTGCACTTATATTCTGTTCATCTTTCTTGTCTCCAGAAGGTGTTAGTGATGGCTTAACGGGTTTGGAGAGATTTATCATTGATGCGGGCATGTTGTATTTGTGGTTTGATTTTTGTGCAAACCCTAAATCTTCTACGCTGACATTTCTCACATCAACCTACCAATAGGTTGGGGGAGAGAGAGAGAGGCCATTGGTAGTCATAAATGATCTTAACTGGAAACGGATAATTTCCAGTTATGTTTTGAGTTGATACAGACTATTTTCTAAATTTTGAATTGAGCATATAGATATATACATATTAATAAATCAAGAATTATATAAATACAAATAGGGAAACGAATGAATTTGTAGATATATAATTGTACATACATATATATGTATATATGCGCATGCCTGCGCGTACATAATAATACATAACAAGTGGAGTTTGAGTGAGCCATTCTCAAGCTATAGTATATTGATTTAAATTTTGAATAATTAAAATATAACGCTTGTCAATCGAGTTTCAAGCATTATTATTAGCCTAGTCATTTATTTTGCATTTTTTTTAATACTTGGGTGAGCTACATCACATGTGATGTCCATCCACACCATCTAGGCTTAGCCAGATGAGCAGGGCGTCCAGCTACATTTGGTTGTTGTATTATATGTTTTATTGCATGGTATTACTTTTCTTGGCTGAAGTAATATCTTTTTTAGGATATCTTTTATTGATACTACTTGATTAAGAAGATATGAGCTTTTAAGATCTTTTTAACAATAGGATATGCAATCATATTATTTCATATCCTGCTGCTATAATGCTTCTCTGTATGATTAAACTTATATGTGGTTAACCTTTGCAGCTACTATTCTTATCAAGCATTTATAGATTTTGGCTTTCGTGACATGTTCATCTTTCGTGAGGTAAGGTGATAGCTTAAAAATGTTCACAGTGTATCTAATGTTTCTGAATTTTTATTTCTCCTATTCAGCTTTTGACATTTTATGTGTATCTCTACCTCGTTTAATTCATTTGATGGGCTCATGATTTGTTTGATAATTTGCAGACCTTTGGTTGGACGCATGAACAAGCTAAGCTGCACATGACATCTGATTTTTTTAGTGAATCTGAGGTAGTACTATGTGTAGTGAACCTGGTTATTCTATGTATGCAGTATGCTATATTTCGAAATGAATTCATTTAAGTAAACTATGTTTTTTGTGTTTTATGGTAGCAATTATAATAATATAACTCTTAACACAGTGTTTGTTGAAGTTATAGTGGAAAGTGATTGATGAGGTTCTTGGTCCAAATCCTCGGCACCTCTCTGAGCTTTATGCTCTTAAACAGACAGATTCTTATCAGCAGTAAGTAATCTGCCCACTCTTCTTTTCTGCGAGCCTTTTACAATATTATCTTTCAATATATTTTGACTTAAGTTTTAACAATTTTGCCCCCATAACCGCACTTTCTCCTTGGAATGTTAGCAATTTGAAATTCTCAGAAAACTGTTTTGATGGTATATATATATATATATATATATTTGAATACTTTTAGAATGCATTCTAGAAAGGGATACCTTGAATGATATGAGAATATAATACTACATGTTTTTTATATTCACAAATGTAGAAAAGACAATTTATTGGAAATAAAAGCCCTCGTAGAATAGAAAGACAACAAGATAAGTAACTAAGGCTATAACTGGGCACACATAAATGAGGGAAGAAATAAGAAGGGAAGTTGTCTACTCAATTTATAAAAAAGCACGATAGTAATGCATAAAATAAATCCATTCCCATTAGGAATCAAAGAACTAGAGGTCAACTACCTTAGGCATGGCAGTATGTAGAATTCAGGGCTGGCAAATAACCAAGTGGGGCCTTACAGCTTGGCTAGGAATTACAATATATTGGATTTGAATGTAAGAACAATTGCGACTTGGTGCTAGTACATACCAGGGTGATCAATGGAGGAGGTTGCTGTCACGATAGTTGGTAAGGTATGATTTCCATTGATACATTACAGATGATTATAGTAGAGGGATGATGCGAGCAATATCTAGTAAGGAATTTATAAATAATAGAAAAAACAGAGATGTTAATTTTGGATTTTGTTAATCACTAGCACAAAAAATCAATAAATAATATTTTCTGGAGCTTATAAGCTAGCGGTAATGTAGAAGAACTTTTCTGAATGATTCCATGCCTATAATTAACTCTATGATCACCCATTTTTCTATTGGATTTTATTTCTCTTAGAAAAAAATAATGAACTATATGATACATGCACATTTTGGAGAGTCGACACTCCAGGTTAGATAGATGTCTATATTCCAACTTTGGGTGAAATCATTTTAACCAATTTATCCCTAGTTATGAGGGATTACTCTTCTATTGAGACATAGTCCAGAATAATTCATGATAATATTTCTTTTATGTCAACTAATTATTTATTTTCTTACAGTATTTAATAACTTATATTAGCTGACAAAGATTATCTTCAATTATGTTAGCTGACTAAGATTGTCTTCAATTATAGTCTTGTAAAGCTTATTTGAGAATTTACTTAACTTTTGCAGTCCTAACAGTCAAAGTAATTTCGAGGATATTGTTGATGTTTATCTGGCGTATTTACAGGTGAGCAATTAATGACTACCATTGATCATTCTGTGGAAAGTCCCACCTTAAATGTTTATTTGTTTAATGTTTTATTTGATTACTATCATCAACATTATTTGAACTACTTGGGGTTGACTTTTAGGGATTCTTATTCTTTATTTTTTCCTATTGAGTTTTGGATGAAATATTAGCTTAAATTTTTAGCATAATTTTACCCATGTGAGCTTTTGATTTGCCCTTCATTTTCCTTCCTATTTTTTTAATATTAATTTAGCTTTCTTATTTATGCGTCTTTTACTTCTTCATTCCTACCCAATGCATCAAATATAATTTCATTTTGTTCTATTATTTAAATATGCTTTTTCAATATTTATTTAATCAAGATCTCTATATCAATTAGCTTAGTTATTACATTTCATGCTTCATAATAATTGATACTACTAATAGATTTTGTAATAAAAGCAATGTGCATGAGTCTTTTTATTGTAAGAAGTCATCACACAAAATATGATAGAGGCCATGAATGACAAAGGTTTAATTCTGTCAAAATCTCAGTCATCCCTTGGCATTTGATCCCACGGTCAGGATGAGAATCCGTGGGAGGCTCACCTGGATCACGCCAATATCCTTCTATATTTGAGTAGCTGAATTAGGAAGGATTATATTGAGTCAATTATGTATCAATTAGAAGTTATTTATTTCTTTATTAAGACATATTGTATAGATCTATAAATAGGGATAATTTTGTATAATAAGTAGAAGGTATTTTTACCATTCCCCAATTCTATGAATTGTAACAAATTCTAAAAAAGTCCATATGTAAAAAGTTATTATATAGGGATATAAAGACTTGTCGTTGTTGTATAGGGATATAAAAAATTAAACTTAATTAAAAAAAATCAGTTTAAAAGGCATGACAAAGTTAGTGAGGCCATGAATGATAAAGCCCATACGTAAAAAGTTATTATAGGGATATAAAGACTTGTTGTTGTTGTATAGGGATTTAAAAAATTAAACTTAATCTAAAAAAAAAAATCAGTCTAAAAGGCATGACAAAGTTATTGAGTTCACTTGATGATGCAAGTAACTTGACTTGAGGGTTGGGGGGGGAGGGGGTTGTTGGGGAGGTGTTGTAAGCTCCCAAAGAATAGGAGAGCTTGTCTCTGCATAGTTTTGTTAGGACAATATATCACTCTAAATAACATTTACTTTCAGTGTACCCTTCTTCAATTAAACAAGTCTTCTTCTTGTTAGGAGACTTGCCTCTAGAGGTAGACCATGTCTCTATTGTTATCATCCTCATGAATTTTCCCTTTTCCTGCTTTTTTTCATCAGCACCCTCACATTTAGAAATCACATCTTTTGACAAAGCAAAGTTCTTCACATCTTATAATCTAATGGTAGGGGTGTTGGACTATCTTCTAAGTTGAGCATTTTAAGCTCCCAAAGACTAGAAGAGCTTGCCTTTGCATAATTTTCTTAGGACAAGATATCACTCTAAATAAAACTTACTTTTAGTGTACCCTTATGCAATTAAACAAGTCTTGTTCTCGTTAGGAGAGTTACCTCTTGAGGTAGACCATGTCTCTATTGTTATCCTCCTCGCGGATTATCCTTTCCTTGCTTTTTTTTTGTCAGCGTCGTCACATTTAGAAATCACATCTTTTGACAAAGGAAAGTTCTTCCATCTTCTAATCTAATGGTATCTCTTCTATATAACTTGGCATCATGAAATACTTTTAAGTAAAGACCACAATAATAATGAAGTTTGATCATCAGCAGCATAAATTGATTCCAAATGTGACTTCATTGGCTTTCCTTCCTGCACCAGAAGCAAATATAGTCTCTACTCGACATAATTTATTGTAGAGACTTTTGTTTTGAATGATGATTCTAGTTTGAGCCATAGATCTCCCACATAGATTCCAAAAATAGCTCCCTCAAAATCTCGTTTGCGGAACATAGTTGGATTGTCATAAGTGCTTTTTCCTCTGCATTTGCTTTTTCATTTCCACTCATCATTACTAGATTTTTTTTAAATGCTCCATGAGTGTCTTCACGATAAGAACACTGCATATTGGTTTTTCAAATGCCAAAAAAAATTTATCTATCAAAATTTTCAATCTCAAACTTTATTCTCATCAATCCAAAGATGCTTTCCGTTATCTGTTTATTATAACGAGACTATTGGATAACTTTAGAGGAAGCGACAATGGGATCAAGAACGATATGCCACTAACAAACACAAAAAAAAGAACGAGAAGAATCACAGAGAAAACATCCAAATTTATGTGGTTCGGTACCGGACCGGTCCAGCTGGGACCGGTCCAGGCGTAACAAAGAATCACAGAGAAAACATCCAAATTTATGTGGTTCGGTTTAACTAATTCTATGTCCACAAGAAAGAGAGGGTTGTGTCCACTAATATATAAGAGTTGCAATAATGTGTACAAAATTAGGAACACATCTGTCTCTCATTATTCCCAATAACACGCATGCTTAAACAAGAAGAAAATCACCCTATTTATCACATAATTATGTCATCTCCTCCAATTGCTCCTATCTTCCTTCGAACCATAGTTGTGTGCCTATCTAATATAGTCATCATCGCTTTCCTAAAAAGAAAACATCATCCATATGGGTCAATGCATTGAAGGTATGAATTCCACTATTACACAGTTTCTTAGGTAGTTCGATGCCTGGGTGCCCAATCAAAGGTTTGCACGAGCAGGGGGGCTTTCAATCCTAATGGATTCAAATATAACAATTTCTCAATTATGGCTACACACTACTTTGCTGTCTGTTTATTGTAAAGAGGGTACCAAATACAATTGTATTGTTGTAAGTGCATTTAGGTTCATCTCTTCTTTGATCTTCACTCATCGGCATTTTTGAACGGTTGAATAATATTCATTTATTCATTTGTTTAAATTTGAATATTAGGAATCAACGAACCTACTCAACAAAGTGCCAACTGCCAAGTAACATTTAAACGGTTAAATACAAATATAAGATGCTTAAAGTATCGTAAAGCATGACCATAGACATCAATGTCATGATAATTTTATAAGATTCGTAATGAAATATATCATCGTTCCAGACATCCTGATGCTAAGAAACTATGCTTCTAATTTATCTGTTTCAATATAACCAACACCTGCTCTTGTTTCTTTATAATATTAAATTTCGTTTGGGACAGCTTTCTTACTTTTTCTAAAGCAGCTTTTTAGTACAATTTTTTTTGGTTCGAAAGCAATAAGAAAGTTATCCCAATGAAACCTTAATTTTGCTATCGCTTTTGTGTTACATTATTGCTTTTATCTGCAATATCATGAAATATGTTTAATGACATATGTCATGGTTATCATGTTTTTTATTCTTTTGACCATTATAGTTGCTGAATGAGTAAATTTTCTCTTTATAAGCAATTTTACTATCTGATTAGTTGAATTTTATTACTGCATGTCTGAAGTCAATCTTGCCTAATGTGGCACGGGCTATCCTGCATATTTAGATAATTTTTAACTATTATGCTTATCGTTCCTTGAAATTATTTTTTTGGGCTGTGCTGGTTTTCACTTGGTGGCAGTTTGATCAGCTGATGTTCTGATTATTAGGTGACTGTGGTCAATCCTGCCATGGAGTCAGCATTGGCTCTCCTGCAGAAATTTTCTTCTGATGTACGGAATGGGAAAATTCTAAAAGAGCAGTTGCATTTTGGTGCTCCTTGGAGACATCCACCTCCTACTGATGATCCTGTTGCTTCTTTGAAATGGGCTAAGATTCAACTAATGGATTTTGTTCAATCTCTTGTCAATACAGAATTTGGGGTATGCATCTTTCCTGATAGTATTCTATTTTCAATATTTTGATTTGCACAGATTGTGCCTTGATAACTAATAAAAATGAATAATGCATCACTGAGGACTTTTATCTATCTTTCAGTTATGTTGTCTGCAATCATGAAGTTGTAAGAATAATTAGATTAATTTCAACCACCAAACAATGATTGCTTAATAATCTATAAATTGGAGCTTCATGGAGGGATTGTTGCAAGAAAGAAACTTATTATTATTAATCGGATGACACATTTAGATTGTATTGAAGGCAGTGAATAAATCACGGAATTCTTGGTGGTCAAACCTAGTGTCAGCTAAGGAAATTGGTGAGCTAGAATTCGATTGCAAAATTAACTGATCTATATCACGGGTACTTCTTTTCTTACAAACTTTCAAATGACGTTTTAAGTTGCTAGTGCCATTCTTGCTATCACGTTGGTAAGCTGCGTCATATTTTTTGCATTTACATCTTTATTTACCATCATCTGCTAGGGGTATCATCTCATAATGACCCCATACAGTTGAAGTCATCCTTCTTTTTTTCTTACGAATGTTCGCTTCATCCTTTTCTTTTGCATCCTCATCACCAATATCAACATCATCAACATAAATAGTGTCTATTTCAATTTCATCTCCTCATTAACACCATCATCAACTTGTACATTTGCAAGAAAAGGGGTACTTTCAACAACATTATTGGAGTCTTCCATCTAAAAAATTAAATAAAAAAATAGTTATAAAGTATAATACACAATTGAACAACCAACATAGTCACCCTAAACTAAAGTCCTAAATAGATGCACATAAAATGTCATCAAAACAGATAATTTTATTTTTTTGCCGAGCCATGAACAAATTCTTAGAAGAGAATATGTGCCCTAAGGGCCGCTTCATGTCATCAAAACAGTTAGTACAAATGTTTTGATGTACCTTTGATAAGAAACAATGTTTTTTAAGGCAAATTCATCTTCAGGGGGAGACCTCTCAACCGAAAGATGCATTTGATGATATATTTATCTTTTCTCTTTGACATTTCTTATATACAAACTCTAAAAAATTAGACACTACACCCGTTCAAGTATATGCAAGATGGAATAAGTCCAGGCGTCCAGCTAAAATCTTTAACAAGCTCAAGCCTCGAAATCATTATTTGGTAACAATAGTTTACCCATTATTGCACATTCTTCTATGCATCTCATATTTCGGTACTCATCTTTTTTAAAAGAATTTTCTACCCATAAAAGCATTCCTTATAAATATTAGCTCCAATTCCATTATAATATCACAAACTCGATTTGAGATACTTGAAAGTAATAATTGGAAGAATGTCACGAGAGAAGAGATGAATGCTTTTGAAAAAAAAAAAAGCAGCTTTGAGATATTTTTGTAATATTAAAAGGGAAGACAACGATATGATTTTTTTTTTTTTTTTTAAAATGTAGAGTAGATGGAAACTTGGAATGGTATAAAGTGAGATTGGTAGCCAATAATATATTGAATCATATGGATTTAGAGTTTTTTTTTTTCTTTCGGCAATTAATCGTGGATGCTTCATGCAATATGATGTGAAGAATTTTTCTCAGATAAGGATGTTGAAGAACTCTATATGGATCCATCTTTTGGATTTGATAGTTACATAAAGAACAAAGTGTACAAAGTACAAACTAAAAAAGTTGTATGGCCTTAAACAATCTCCAAAAGTATGGTTTGATAAACTCGCAAAATAAATAAAGTTGGATACAAACACAGTCAAGGAGATCAATACTCTCTTCAGAAAATACTCCTTTGATGGTAACATCTTAATTCTCATTATATAGATTGATGACACGGGTGTTGAGAAATAGAGAAATGAAGTCTCAAGAAAATGTTTGCTAAAGAATTTGCAAGCAAAGAGTTGGACAAACTCAAATATTTTTTACGAATAGAAGTTGCTCAATCTAAACAAGAAATGTTCCTCTCTAAAAAATAATATATCATGAATCTATTAAAAAAATTGATTATAAATATTCGATTTAGTTAGGCTAGAAATTGGATGTAGATGAAGAAGAAAAGAAAAGTAATTGGATAATATCAAAAGATTAGTTGGATAAATTATCAATTTATCTCGCAACTATCTAAATATCGTATCTGCAGTGAGTCTATCAACCAATTTATGCACAAATGCAAAAGTGTCATATTTAAGCTGCTTATAGATTTCTCAAGAATGAAGTATCGGTAAATGTTATCTATAAAAAGCATGTTAGTTTACCAATTGGAAGGTAAACCAATGCAGACTATATAGGATTATCCATGGATAGAAGATCCATGATTGGATATTGTACATTTTGCGATCGATCCTTTTATGATCGTTAAATTGTTATCCGTATGCTTCATCTTCCTCTTCTAACCACTGGCCCTTCTTGGGAATTTTTTTCAGATAGTTTTGATTTATTTTCAATGCAAGACTTTTAGAGAAATTCATATATATTTCCACATTTTGTACAGAATCAAATAAAAAAAATTATAGTAAATTTTTCTATTTTTTTACACGCTTAGTGTTGCTGCATATATGGATTAATATTTGGATGAACATCCTTGCATCTTATAGTGTAATATTTCTTTGGATGAACAACTTTGAATAGCTAAAGTGCGTCTTACGTATCCTTTTGCAGCAGTATTATCTCATTCTCTATATCATTAAATCCTTGTTTCTAAAACTTTTTCCTTTGAAGGTGAATTATCTAGCTGACAAAAGCTTTGAAATCCTAGACGATCCAGCATTAGTTGCGATGCTTGAGGTATGAAAATTATTGTGCTTTAACTCTTATGCGAAATGCTTTTAAGGCTCCTTTTGTTGCTTGAATTTAGAAAATATCAGAGGATTTACATACACTGTATAATTTTTATGTATTTACATATCTAACACTTAAGTATTTATCTTTATTTATATAACATCCTAATATTTAAATAACATAAAACATATCATTATCATTAATTTATCTAAAACGAAATAATAATTTCATGCATATATTTTCATGTGATTTAGACATTAAAAATATTATACAAATAACTAAATGGTGCCTTATCTATTTTACTAAACCTCAGCTTTTGTATCCTCATTAGCTCTTTTCCAAAATTTCAATCAGGTTGGATTACTCTATCAGCAACGAGATCCATCTTTCATACGTCCAATTACAGTTGGTATTCAAAGATGTATTGTGAGATGGTAAGTTGCTTGAATTCACAACCTATCTTTCTTTTTCTCAGTAGAAATTAAGCAAGAAATCTTTCTACTTTTTCATGTTTCAGGCTTGTACAAGAAAGAATGCAAATGAGCTTTCCAGATTACATGTCATTCCTGTGGCAACGTATTATACGTGGAAGGAGCTATCGGCATTTGATGAAAGAAATAGGATATAAATAGGTTTTATGTTCATTCAGGTAATTTAACTTGATTTTTTTGCTGCAAATTTGAATTATTGAACTCAATAATATTTTTTTTAACACAATAAGTTTCAACCATTAAACAATCAAATTACAGCCAATCAAGCAAACACAAATTATATATAAATTTGAATTCAATAATTTTGATGATCAGAAAATTACTACACAAATGTTGAAAAGTTAAGAATGAAGGTGAAGAATAGAGTGACTCAATGATGAGAAAAACAACCCTCTGTTATAATATTTCATGTAAGTTATATGTTTTATTATTTAATTGCTTTGCATTGTTTGATGTCATTTGTTCAAGGATCATAGAACATGAAACTAACTATGATATTAATAATTTTACATTCTGCCATGCGCTCATCAGTATAAATTGTTTGGTCTATTTGTGAAACTTTTTGGAGGTTGAGAGGAAGCATTACATTTTTTCTTTACAAATTATAAGAAATGCAAAGACTTGTTTTGAATTTCTCATCTTTTGTGTATAAAAATGCAATGTTTTATGAGCACCGTAGCTTTACCTCGGCCTATACTATGAGTTTCTTGTTGTTTACAAATGAAAATGTACTATTTTATGAGCACCTTTGCCTTACCTCCATGTAGCCTTCCATACAGTCGTCAGTATTTGTATAGTCTCATTGAGCTTCTTGGCATAGATGGGGTTGGAGGGTCAATGGTGTTGGAATGAGATGAGGAACTTGAGAAAAAACATGAGGTTGAGAGTTTTGAGGTTGGTCATCCATTGCTTTGGCAACATTATGCATGAGATCGTTAGCAGGGGCGGATCCAGATTCATTTTTTAAGGTTGGCATTTTTTTTTTTTTTTTGGATGGGCAAAGACTCTCAGGATTGATAAAATTAGAATAATTTTTTTTTTTGAGGGGGGACAAAATACCCAAAATATTCAAAAACATCTCTAAATATTTAATTTTTTTTAGGGTGGGCATTTTGCCCACCCTGCGTACATGGGGGATCTGCCCATAATCATTAGCTCGGAGCATGAAAATGAGACTTTGTTTCTAGTGAATTTGATGCATTTTGAATTCACTAAATTGACCTATTGGAGAGTTTCAAATTCTTTAAAAAAATACTTTTGATTTGTTTTACTAAACCCTAAACACCTAAAAATTTAAAAGCCCTACATTTCAAATATAAATCTATATATATATATGCACACATGTGCGTGTATGGATAAGTAGTGATGTTATCAGGTCCTAAATTTTTAATGAGACAATTGGAGGATTGTGTTAAGTAGTTGACATTTAGCATAAAATTTATCAATTTATACATTGTGTTCTTGTTATGGTGATTTATCAAGCTCAATTATGTGCAAATCATATATGAACCACAAGGTAAATGATCGAGCACTCACGGCCCATGTGATAGTGCGTGGCACCAAGTAACAATAATTACTACAAGTCAAAGAAGACATGTTATTATAGCCATATGCATTTCGTAATATTAAACCAAAGCTTCATAGTAATTAACATGCATACCTCATATGGAGTTGAAGCCTAGTGTGCACCTCTTACTTGCAATGCTTGGAACACATGTTAGCATAACCATTGGCATTTCGTAACATTAAACCAAAGCTACATTGCAATTAACTATATGGCGACTAGTAGTTCTTGCCATGTATAATATGGAATTGCCCTGAATAACTTTGTTTGCAGCACTTCAATGTGTAATAGGGTGACCTGAAAGTGGAGAAGTTTGATCGCTTTGCGTCGGTTGTACATGAGGCAATTGGTACATATGGGGTTTATTATATGTGCGTGTATAGGAGTTGTCTGATATTATTTGAATTTTGAAAGACCTAAAATCATGGGCGGAGGAAAGGGGGGCACATGGCCCCCTAAAAAAAATCCCTCTAAGAGAGTTAGTGGCAAGTCTACGTATAACCTTTTTGAAATTCTCGCACAAGTGACATAGTCGTTGGCGATGCACAACAACAAAAAATCTCTCTCTGCATCCACGAACAATTCCAGAGTGTCTATATGAGCTTAAACATAGGTCTCATCTACCATATATTTTTATCGGTGCATAAGAATATTGGACAATCACTTTGCTTCGACGACCCCTTGAAATTTTTATTTCGTGCGGAATCCGGAACATCCAGAGACCAATAAAAATAAGCCACGTCATCTAAAAAATGTATTATGCTCGGTGCCGAACTCAGTACCCATGCTTGGTACCACTCGGTACCTAGCACGTAACTGGGATGGGAGAACCGTCCGGTGTCCGGACAGAATAATAGCTCCCTTATGTGTTAAAAAGGATTGGATGCTTGCTTAAGCTTAACTGGCTATGAATATATAAATCAGGTAATTAATAATGGGGCGGGCATTAAAAAAAAAAAAAAAGATTTAAGTTATACTATTTAATTGGCCTTTAGTTTACATGGTAGAAATATTGAACAAACTTTTGTTTTGAATGGATACTGACTTGTAAATTTGAGAAGATTTGAGTCGTGTCATAGCCAAACATATCCGAAGGTTTCGTGTCATAATGTTAATATCTTCTCTCGACGTTTCTTCAATGTTAACGTACACAATAATAGGATGCCTCGTTCAGTTAACATGAATTCACAAACCAATGTAACTCTCATTGTTACGAAGGCGACACACGAGATTACATCATTAATTATATAAGTTTTAGTTGATGTTAAAGATTTTAAATATTTTTTGCATTCAAAATAATTAATAAATACAATTTTTTTTAATTTATTATTACATTAAAGATATAAACTTATTAAATATAAACACAAAACATTTTTTTATCATATTTATAAATAAATATTAGATTAATTATTTAATATACCTAAACATTAAATATTATATTAAATATTGAAATAGATTCTCCTATTAAATACAAAAAATGCTACTATCTTTAATAGATATATAGTATTTGATATATAATATTTAAAATTAAATAATAAATTTTATATATTATATTTAATATGATATTAAATATTTAAACAAATATCTTATTTAATATTAATGTAATATTTGAGTACATATTTATTATAACGTTATCACTAAACATTTAACATTATGTATGATCTTAAATATTGAATAATTTAAATAAATATTATATTAAATCTTTAATGATATAATAATTAAGTAATACCTATAATTTCAAATAAATATTATCTAATAAAATATCATTAAATTAAATTAACATTTTAACAATTTGGTTAATCATAACAATTTTATTTTATTTTTAGAATTCATAGGTTTAAACAAGATTTTAACATATAGTACTGAAGATCTATTTTTCAATTTAGATTTTAACAATTTTATTTACATACCCAAACAATTTGCTCAATAATAGCTCAACAATTAAAATTTAAACTAAATTTAAGCCGAGCTCAAACAAGCTAAAAAAACTAAGCTTTTAAATGAATCAAACTTAAACACTAATATCGATACTTCAATCAAGCTCAAATAATATTTTAGCAAATGAGCTCAAACTCTTTTGCAGTCCTAACGGTAATATATATATACTCGAATTAGCTATTAAGAAACTACTTTCCAAAAACAAATTTGCTGCTGCTTCTACAAAATGTCACAATTGCCCCCAAACAGACCACAAACACCATCTACAACCTGCTCAAATAATGTAGTCTTTTTTCAACCTCTGATGGCACTAAGAGGAGAGATTATTCTATGTGGAGATCGGATGCATAACACCGTCTAGAGACCAATCAGAATGCGTCATATCAACGATATCGAGCCGCAATATCGATCACAATCCCAAGCTGCGGTATCAAGTACAGGGTGACGTGATGCATTTTGATTGGTCTCCACACGGCATTCGACATTCGATGTACGCACATAATAATTTCACTAGGAGTGCAAGCGAGTTGAGTCAAGTTTGACTCATACCTAACTCGAGCTCGACTCACGAGCTAAATCCCAAGCTCAAAACTCAAGTTGAGCTAAAAAAGAGAGCTAGAGCTCGGCTCGTGCCACTAAAAAGGAGCTCGCGAGCCTTCCGTGATCAGCCCGGTTGGCCTTTCATCTTCCGCGGTTCGCACACGCTTCCGCCTTCCGCATTTCATCGAGCAACTCGACGAGTAATCGAGCTAAGCATCATTTCAATCAAACTCAAAACTCAATAAGCTAGGCTCGCAAGCTTGTTAACGAGTCGAGCTCGAGAGCTAGCTCAACTCATTTACACCCTTAATTGGCACCCTATAAAAGGGAGGGTAAGAAATAGAAATGGTTAAGACTTAATCATTATATACAACCATTTATGGTTCTTTTAAGATGGCTTGATCATAAATCTACAACTATTTAAGGTCCGTTTAAGGCTGCTGCAGAAGCAAAAGTTGCTATAAAACTATGATAGAATGAAATTATTTTTCATCATAAAAAACTTCTCAAAAATAAAATAAAAAAATTATAACTAAACAGAAGTGTGACAATTATCTAAAAATATGAAAAGGTTGCACTAAATGAACCCTTAATTAGAAATTGAAACCGAAGAAGTTCAGATTTTGTCAGCCTCAGGTTGCAGGATATTCTGGACAATTAATCCTCTGTTCTAAACTCCAAACATCTGATTCCATGTTGCTAAAAAAAATATTTCATCTCAAAATGGCTCTCTAAACATAGAGATTATTAAGTGCAGAGTGCGGATGGGGAGAACCGTCCGCATAAGTATTGGGTACCCAGCGATATCCCACTCGGTACTACTGGGTACCGCTAGGTATCCAGTACTTATGTGGACGGTGTGCACTCCGCACCTAATAATTTTTCCTCTAAACAAGATACATCATTAAAAGATATCATGTAGCCTTCAAAAAGACAGCAGCATAACAAATTTACTGTAACGCAGAGAAATCATTAAATGTGCATTTAAGCTCATCTGTGACAGTATAAAATAATAGTAAAAAAGAAACCCATAACAACAGAGAAGCAGAGTGATACCGCTTAAAGCTGAAATTTGAACTGTAACTTCTCCAAAACCAGCGGCTATCAGTCTTCAGGTGAATCACTTCGAATGGCTAAGAAAACAAAAAAGATGTATTTAATGAACAAGACGTTTAAATCAGGAAGCTAAAGGAAGGAATCATTAACTAGACAAAGGATACATTTCTTCTCTTTATATATTCTTAAATAACAAAAAAGGGAGAACATAATTTCAAAATGGAGCCACAGAATGCTGGTCAGTCAAAGATGCGGTGAACTAAAAAAATATTTTGTATATTATTTTAAAGAGAATGACATCGAAACTTAAAGAGATTATTATAATATTTTCAATTCATTTTTTCCTTTGTTAACTTGTTTGACTTTTGATATTAAAAAAGTTGATATAAACTCCTCATATTTATATGAAAGGCAGTAGGTTTGTAATATTTAATTTTAATTTATGATGATATTTTATATTTAATTTTTTTATTGTAAAGATTTATTAATTATTTATTTTTTAAAGAAAATGAGTAGAAAAAGAGAGAAACATTTGAAATAAAAAATAAGTTAACATGATATTTTAAAGATTTCTCAACATGAGTTGAATGTAAATGATATAGGTATGTCAAGAACGAGAAATTATTTCGTGCGGAGACCGGACAGTCTGGAGATCAACCAGAACGTGTCACGTCACTCGGTACACAGCGGTACCGAGCAAAAAAAATGATGTGGCGCATTCTGGTAGGTCTCTGAATACCGTCTATTGTCCGCACAAAAAAAAATTTCGTCAAGAACACGGTGTGATTTGAGTGCTCCATGGAATTGCTATTCCACACAAGATGATTGCAAAGATTCATATATCTTATAACATTCAAGAATCTAATTTATCAATTCCCACATAATGGGGATCCTAACTAGTAAATGTGTAAAACTCAGAATCTTCCCAAACAATTCAAAGTGCATCTCTTTAAATTAACACTATTATGAACAAGTACTCCAGAAAAAATTGATGCCAAGTAGCAAATTAAAATATTTGAAAAAGTTATTTTCCTCAATCTTTAATCTTTCTTAAAGTTAAAAAAAAGGTTGGGCACAATTTAATCACCGAACTAAACATCCGCATGCTTCAAAGTGTGGTCACAAAACATTTCTGCAAAGGTGTTGATGTGGACTACAGGTTCACAAGAGCATCTTTACTGGGAAGATCTATGCATATTTGTCACACAATTAACTTAATCATGATATAGGTGTCATCACTTAAATTTAATTATCTGTACAAGTGTATTATTTTATCTAAATTATCAAATGTGCTAACCATTTATAATGGAAACTACAAAATTCATTATTGTAATATTTCCCCATTATCGAGGATATTCCCTAGCATTATATTTTTTCTTTATTGTTCTCTTCTCTTGTCTATATAGACACATATTTGCTCGTACTAGTATGACAATTCAACTAAAGAGTCAATTATTTACAATTCTTTCTCCCTAATAACATGATTTCAAAAAATGAATCTCTTCGATCATCTCATACCCTCGAACTCACCGCCTTCCTCATCACAGTGGCCTTCTCGATCGCCAACCTTATTCACACTTACTAATCACAATCTCCTATTCATCACAGCTCCATGCCCTCCGTTGCATTTCAAAAAATAATTCTCTTCGATCATCTCATACCCTCAAACTCACCGCCTTCATCATCATGGTGGCCTTCTCGATCGTCAACCTTATTCACACTTACTAATCACAGCTCCATGGCCTCCGTTGCCATATCCTATATATGACTGGTCAGTCTGGTCCTGCTTGCACTTGCCAACGATAGACTATATTTTATTTATTGCATGCTACAGTGTAGTTAAGACATAGATGCAACAAACAATAGTGTTTGTATATGTGGTTATGATCTCTTAAACAAGTGATACCCCTAGCCCACACAAGTTCTACAGTGCATCCAGTACTCTTCCCACTCCAACGCTGCTCTTTTTTGATCTCTGTCCCCGCCTCTGCTAAGTCACGCCTGTCCAACTATCATTTGATTCACCTTTGCTGGTATGTAGTGATCCACTACACTCACCGATCCTCATGACCCATTAATTTTGATTGTCCTTTGCTTTGTCTAGATTGACACATTTGCTCCCTCGATCTCACTGAACATGGAACTATCTTCCCTTGGCATCTTTGGTTGAATACAAAAATTCACATTACATCTTAAGGAATACCATCTTTGAGTTGCTACCGAAACAGTGAAGGATCAACCTATCCTTAAGATGTAATGTGAATTTTTGTATATACCTCAAGCTTGGGAACCTGATAATAGTCGATAGTTTGCTTTTATTGACAGCTAGGGCTTGCAACCTACACATCCAAATTTGGGTTCACATGCTCCCTGATTTTGCAGTTGATTTAAAAATGTGTTTATTTTAGCTTTAGTCCACTAGCAGTTAAATAGTTTTAAAAGTTCTAAATTTTGAGTTAATTATATGATAATGTATTTAGATTTACATAATGGATGCATGAGTATTATCTTATTTGGAGATTTGCATAATGTATTAAGATGGTGTTCTTGTTATGCAAAGCAGAATTGTATTAGTTTTTTGGAGGATTTACATCTATACCACCCTATTTATATATTTAACACCCCAAACTGTAATATTTCATTCCTAGCACCTATAATTACTTTATCACTCTGTCTCCTCCAAATCTTCACAACATTATTCGCATACATCTCCCGCTAAAATGGAGCTTCCCGTGCTCTCTCTCTCTCTCATGCTCTCTCTATTGTGGATCGAGGCTTTCCTCCCTCCTCACATGAATGGCAACAGTGTTAGTTTGCTATTTAAAAAGGGCTGAGTAAAAATTTCTATTATTTTATTAGTTGAGAAAGCCTTTTTAGATAGCTTTTCAGGTGGTGCTTTATTTTCCATTAATTTTAGTCATTTTATTAAGAAAATGAATCAATTGTATAAGTGTATAACATAACAATATAAGAAAATCCATGCGTTGTAGGAATGAAAATCTATTCATTAATAGTGTTAATCAAATGTTGGTTTATATGACTTTATATAAATTTAGAAATAACATTTTTATCTTTGTTAATACAACTTTATGGTGACAACGAGGAAATGATTTATACAGAGAATAAAAATAGTATATTTTAGTTAGATTTAAATTTAGAGGATTTTGGATTTGAACCAAAGAACAATTTAGAAATAGGTATAATGACGACAAGCAAATGACTGCTAAACTTGAGAAGGAACATACCAATATTTTTATTCTTAGAGCAGAGATTGCTAGAACTTGTCCATGAATTAAAAGATATCAATATAATATGTATTATCACATATACAGAACATCACCTAAGAAATACAAAGTTATTACTTTTGACGTTGGCGTGAGAGAGTTGATTAAACTATATGTTGAAATTTTATGTGCTGAAATTGTTATTACACTACAAGAAGTAGATAAAGATGAATCAAATTCAAATCTTATGGAGGCTATAAGTAGTTAATGGATAGTAGAATGTTCAATTACTTATAATGTAGGTGTTTCAAGTGGTCTAAGTGTAGGTGTTAAAGATATAACATTTAGCACATTTTTTAATGATGTAATAATTTTCAAGCATGCCCTCCTATCACTTGCCATTAAAATTAACTTTGAAGTTATGAATAAAACAAATGATAAGAAACATGTTATTACTACATGTTTTTATCAAGGTTGTCAATGGAGAATTCGGGCATTCTTATGTGAAGATAGTCAATCTTTTCCAGGAGAGAAGATAGAGGGCACACATGCTCTGGCGTCAATCATGCTAGGAATAAACTAGCCATATATATGTGAGTTGCTAATGAGATTCAAGAGATGGTTAAGAGACATCCAGACATTCCACATAAACAAATCAATAGCAATCTAAAAAAATTATAGTTTCTCACTATCATATATGAAGCTATAGAGGTTGAGAGAATAAACTTATGATATAATATTTGGCTCAGTTGATGATAACTATAAATGAGTACCAACATTAAGAACTGTACTACTTGATAAAACTCCAATCTCACATATCATATACATATGATAGTATTAATAATTCTTTTTAAAAAATTTATGTTAGTTTCAAGGAATGTGTTAACGAATTTCTTGTCGGTTGTAGACCTATTATTACTGTAGAAGCTTGTTATCTTAAATCCAAGCACTTTGTGTTCTTTTATCAGCTAATTAACTTGACGGTAATAATGATTTATTCGCATTAGTCTATGCCACAGTTAAGTTTGAATCGAAGCAAGCATAATTATGATTTTTTTAATAGCTTGAGTAATATTATTGGTACAAATATACAACATATTACTTTTATATTGGGCATGAAGAAATGTTTGGGAGAGGCTATTAAAAAAGTTTATCCTTATACTGAGCATAGAGTGCATATTCATCATTTGTGGCAGAATCTAAAAAATATATTTTCATCATAAAAATGACCAGAAACTTCAAGGCTTGCGTGCACACCATCTACTCTCTTTATTTGAAAAGCATGACTATCTTCAATTCTCTATTGACAACCTTGATAAGAACATTTAGCAATAACATTCTTAAGTGAATATAGTCATTCTTTTCAAATAAGACGAGTAGATGAAGTACACACAAGTCTTAGAGTTTTTGGACATCTTTGTAATGAAAATATTTTGTTTAAATATAAATGATTGAATACACACTCTATGCTCAGGAAAGAGATAAATCTCTATAATAACCTCTCCCAAACATTTCTTCATGTTCAATATGAAAACAGGTTAAATATTTGTACCAATAATATCATCCAAGTTATCAAGAAATTATAATCATGTTTGCTTCAATTCAATCTCAACTATAGTATAGGCTAATGTAAATAAATTATTATTAACATCAACTGAATTGGCTGATAAAACAATAACCAAGTGCTTAAATTTAATGTGACAATAATCTATACTAATACTTAACTATCTCTTAAATCTCATTAGCAACTCACATACACTGACAACATTCACTGTGTGCACTCCATCTACTCTCCTTATTTGAAAAGACTGACTATCTTCACTTAGAAATGCATGAATTCTCTATTGACAATC